CGCACGCTGGTTCTGCCGCCCAGCACCCTGGCTGCTACTTGCTTTGCTCAGCCCATGTTAGGACTGTGATGTTTGTTGACCTGCAAAGCCCTGCAGCGCTTTGGGGCTTTGAGGTGCCAATCTTCGCAAACACTATGCGCGGGCAGTCTACAAGTTCGTGTCCGGCCGAAGCTTCCGCGGCAAGTGGGGTGGCAACATGCGCCGCTATGCCGCTCCGTGTCTTGGCTTCTTCAGCTGTGCATCAGGGCAACGCGGGACATCAGCCAGCATTTTGCTGCCTGAGAGGCCCGCGCACAGCGGAAACCTGGGCCTTGCAGCGCTGGGCCGTTCCTCTGACTTTTTGAACGTCATGTGGCTGGCCCGGTAGGCTGGCAAGCACTGGAACACATCTTGACTCATGACACCAGCTGCATGCAAAGCTTGATGAATGAAACAGCGGAAGTAAGGAAGAGCACCAACAAATCATCCGACCTTTTGAAGCCGAAGATGCCTGTGCAGTACTGAGACCCTGAGCCGTAGCGTGCCAGATAGATAGATAGGTATGAAAGGAGGGGAGATGCAACATAGCTGTGAACTTTAGTGCGGAGCAAACCGGCGCGGGCAAAAAAGGACTGACAGCAGGACGGCGGAGCTTCTCAGGATAGCGTTTTCCTCATGGAGCCCCAGAACGAGGTTTCTACTACTTTAGTGCTGTCAGAGGGATCCCCACATGTCTCGAGAAATTGCTATTCTCCTCAAGCGGCTGTTCCTTTACCCCTGGTCTTTCTGTTGGCTTTGTTAAGGCGGAGCTCTGGAACGCGAGCGGGGGCCGTGGCTTTTTGGGAAAGACGCAAAGCACCACAGCCTGCAACGAGTCGTGTCTTGTGATGCCAAGGCGGAGACTGCAAGAGACTGAGACAGCAGTAGCTGCTCAGCCGTGCCAAGGGTGCAACTTGTAGAGACAGGCGAGAGTCAGAAGGATCTCAGTTTCCAGGTCGGAGAGGCAGCAAACAGACCTGGCCAGCCTGCATGGAGAGGCCTTGTAGCTCTTGCGCTCCACCTCCGTTCCAACAGTAGCTCTGCTCGATTGTGCAGAGTTTCTGCGCGCTTGCAGTTGCTTGCTCTCTGCTGCGTGGGCTCAAGCACGCTCAACCTGAGCAGAAACTTCCTCCGGAGCAGAGAGGAGGCCCATTTGCCTGTGCTCTTTGTGGAATGCTCTGGACTTCTAGTTCCGGATGATTTGGACCTAAAGCTGCCTGGGCAGCGCTTCCTGTTCCACCTGCCAGATGATGGACTATGTCCGCAAAGCAGCAAGCGCCATTGAAGAGTCCTTGGGCGTGGGGTCAAGCGCTGCATTGGCTGAGTGCTGAGAGTGCAAGCGCACACAAGACCTACGGTACCATTTACTGTTCCCAATCACTCTGTGCTCAGCCTTTAAGGTACTCACGTTCCTGATCGTCCTGATTAGCGTCTATGTGACTTTGCAGGTATTCCAAGCAGCTCAGCCAAAGATGTCCTCCTTCAGTGCTGCGCCATGTTGCGTGTCGCGCTCAGGTTCTGAGCGGGTCGGCGATTCGAACGCGGCGCTCACGGGGAAATGCAGCATTACTTCTAGGTTGCTTGGCAGAACGGCAGAACCATGCACTGTGTGAAGTTCATTCAAGCTAGGTTGGTGCAGTATAGAGCTAAAGGGGCGGCAGGCAAGACAGTGAGTTGTGGTTGGGAGATGGCAGTGCAAGACATGGTGGCGCCTGAGGTCAATGCGGATCTGGCAAGACCGCTGTATTTTTCCGACTCCGCGATGGCGAGGAGGTTGCGGGCCTTGCGGGTTCAGGCCATGAATCAGGGGTTTGGCAGCACGCCGGAGCGGACAGGTGCAAACAGTCTCCTCATTGTCGGCTTCGCGTGACAGCTTTGAGATCAAGGCCGGCGAGGTGCCTCGCTGGGAAAGTTCACGTCCTGTTATGCGAGCAGCTTGTATGAACATCTCTGTGTTCCAGGCACATGATCAGAAACTGGGCCCTTTGGAGGCCAGGCAGCAGAAATAGCAGCTTGCTCAAGGCCCTTCACCTTGCGAGAGGTGGTGGACTTTCCCGGCCATTTACGAATGAGAGGGAAGGCAAACGATATGGTCAAGGAGGCAGACTTGCACCCCATAGCTCTACGCTTCATTTTTGTGTCCCTTCATTGGCAGGCCCGGTGCATAATCTACATGGTTGATGCCGAAGACAAACCCAAGCTTAAGGACGGTCATCGATGAATATGGGTAAATTTAGTAGTGTGCAGTGTGTGCAGTCTGCCCAGTGCTTACAGGATGTGGCGGAGCATTTTTATGAGCTCTTCACGCATCCTGCCGGGCCCTAACAGTCCTGATATGCGCATGAGCCATGCAATTGCCCCTTGCTGCTGTAACGTGCTCTAGCAGGACGTATTGGAACTTCACACGCCTATCCTAGTGGCCTGCAACAAGACTGACTTGATGTCGGCACGTACGGAGAAGTTCATCGCCAGGATCTTATCTGCGTGTTCCCCGATCCCTTTTGCCTGAATTGGGGCATCCTCCTCCTGTAGGGTTTGCAAGGTGGAAGAAATCGAGCGTGAGATTGAGCAGATGCGGGTATCGCGTGCTGCCACCCTCGAGGGACAAGATCAAGCAGATAGTCACGTGCTCATTTCTGCAGAACAGTTGCGTCACAGTAGGCAACCAGTTTAGTTTACGCTGAGGCTACCTCGGGGTAGATGGCGAGAAGTTCAAGCTTATGGATTGATTGCACAGGGGCCGAGCAATCATTTGTGCGGTAAATGAGCATGGGCTTCCCTGGCGCATTGGCCCTGCGAGGAGCATGCGCCATGCCCAATACAGACTTGCAGAATCTCTGCGAAGAAGAACCAGCTTCAACCTCTGCAGCTTGGCTGAATGCAGGCTTGATATTTGCTTGTCCACATCTGGAACGTAGTGTGCTGGAAGCCTGTTGAACAACTGTAGAAATACGGTTGACCAGTAGCAGGCGCATGCAAGAGAGCAGAGCATGACACGCGTGCAAGAAAGTATCACATGGAGTCTGCGCCGGCTTACTCAATCACTCGCCAAGGTACGATTTCCTCCTCCAGCAGTTTGCCTAGCTGCTAGGCCTGCAGGGGGAGGTTCTATTGAAGCGTGATGACAGCTGAGAAGCATCTCAGGTTTCACGTTGTTCTAGCATCCCAGTGAGATCCAGTGAGCTGAGCAGCACAGATGTGTCTGAAACGGCCGGAGCACAAGTGGACCGAGGGTTCTCTGCGTTTGCAGTCTGCCTGTGACAGCATTAGCTCCTGAAGATACATCTGAAGTCCTGACATGATTCCATGTCAAGTTGCAGATGCAGAAGCGCAGGGATCTTGGAAGACGGCTCACGACAGCAAGCACTGCGCAATAACTGCGCAGTCGCTGCTTGTCCAAAGAATGGCTGCTGGCGGTACGGAATGAGGGCATGATGGTATAGCGAAGTAATGTACAGTAGTCACCAGGCACATCAGACAACGTATGTTCCCATGGCTTCATTCCCTTCCAAACATAGCCAGAAGAGTGCATCGGGACATCCACGAGCCAAATTGTGCGTTGCAGACGCGGATTCCCCGGTGCTTGACCGATGGCCCGCCAATGAAAACGCGGGTTCTGCAGCCAAAACAAGATGGGAGGCTTTCCACAAGTTGTGCTCGGTTGGTTTGTCGGATCGTGGGAATCGTGTAAGAAGATGTACGAAGAGATACGACGTGGGTTCTGCACAGAGATGCCCACTTCATGTCAGCTTGAAGTTGCGCTGCCATGCCGCTGCCTTTCAGGCCTTTGCTCATCAGCAGCAGCTCCAGGACGAGTGCGGAACGTTCGTGTACTCCCATAAGTGCTTGGCAATGGAAACAGGAGCTGCACGATGCTGTGTCGAAGGCCACGGAGTCCTACTCGGAGTGCTTCCCTCGGCCTTTTGAGAGGGCACGGAATGCTTGAGTCTGTCTGCAGCAGCTAGGTGTAGGGAGGCATCCAAAGGGTTCTGTTCACACAAGAGGGGAGTGATGAGATCTAGCCGTTGCAGTGAAAGGTTGGAGATCCGGCACGCAGCGGAAGTCAACGGCCTGAAGATCCAGCTTCAAAAGGCCCGCGGTGAAGATGTTGCAAAGTGCTAGGTGCTAGGATAAATGTAAACTCGTGGCACGGTTCCGCCTCGGCCGCCCAGCGCAAGTCCGGAGCAGTGACGCTGTCGAGCCACGAAACATTTTTTGGAGCCCAGAAGAAGGGAAGACCGACAAAGGAAGGTGAGCAGTCTGCCAGTGTAACGGCGCTGGTAGGGGGGATAGTGGGCTTCTATGGGTACTATAGAGTCTATGGGATGAGGAATTGTATGGAAAAGGCAATTAAAATTGAAACTGGAGGCTGTAGAATACACCATGCATGTGTTTTGACCATATTCAAAGTTCCTCATGAGATCTAGACGCAAGATTCAGTGAGGCCTGTCGGACTGTGAGGCTTGCTGCTCTTTTACCGTAGTAGGTGAGCATTTTGAAGTTGTTCCAACAACCAATCCCCTCAATACCGGATACCCCGAAGTATCCCAGGAGGATCACGCTACTGCGTAGAGATGGTGCGTATAGAATTCGTTTCTACAAGTCCCGGGCCTCTGTGGTCATTGATGGCCCTCGCAATCCCCAAAACGGGAAGCATCCGGTGTACAAGGGATGTTCAGGTAATGTATGGGGGTTCCCATAAACAAGGGCCCCAATATGCCCCAATAGAAACCCTTATAATGTATAATCTTCCTAAAGGGGCCCCTAATTATTGGAAGCCGCTGTATTGCCGGGCTTAAAGCCGGACCATTCTCCGACATTTTGGGTATTGCAATGGAGGTGACCTCCTCGGCCGAGAAGCAGAAGCATGAGGCTGTCAAACTCCCAGTCCAGAAGGCTTTGGAAGTGTGGAATGGCCTATGCCAAGATGAGAAATCGAGTGGGGCCCTTGAGGTCCAAGAGCTTCACACGCAGCGGGGCGAGGTGCAGCGCTTCTACCTCAAACACAGCGTTTGAGTCAACACTTGGGAGTTTTCTTCCAAAACGTTCGTTATGTGGTCTTCAAGGGACCTTCAGAGCCCCCCCCCCCCCTTTATAGTCCGCATGTTCACTCTACTTGAACAAGCTTGTGCGTGGCTTGACCAGGAAATGCAGCATTTTGGCCCGATGCTTTGCGCGTAGAACAGCCAGCAACAAAGTATTGCTCAGTCGCTGCTTGGACGCCATGGCCGGGAGACGACGTTTGCAAGAACTGTTTGCCAGGCGCCTGCGACCGATGCAAACTTTTTAGTGTCAGGACTTTCTGGAGAATTCTTGGGTCTGGGACATTCTCAAAGAGAAAGGAGCATTTCAGACTTGAGGCGCGGTAACTCATGTGAGTATCTTTGATGTGAATCCGGGGCAGCCAAGGTATGATCTCTCTGCAGATGGTGTACTGTCCGAGGCCGAGATGAAAAGCGTCTTCGCCAAGGTCGGGATACTTGAGAAGGATGCGGAGACTATCTTCAAAGCTGCTGATGGCAACAAGGCTGGTAGTTGGGAACTGTAAGTGGTGGGATTGTACCACCAAAGCTGGTAGATTTTGTGGAGACCTGTCCTGTACCAGCCTTGGCATAGAACAGTGAGCCTGAGGATGGCGTCATCCAGGTGCACGAGTTCATCTCGTGGCTGACCTCGCGAAAGTCTGCAGTAAAGGCCGTGCAGGACAAGCACGGCACTGTGACTGCCACTATCACCAATACCTCTGACCGCGCAAGCAAGCGCTTCACGCTCAGCTTCAACAGTTGCAAGAACATGAGTTTTCCTGAAGGGAATCCTGCCACGTTTCTTCTCCGTCCCGGCGAGCAGGTTGTAAGAACTGTCTGCGCGGTCGAGGAAAAGGGGCAAGCCTGGAAGTGGAGATATCGATGGACTGCAAGGGCAGAGTTTGTGGGTATCGAGGATGAGCCCAATGCATTCAAAGACGAAGGTTTTCAATGCGACGCCACAAGCATTGGAGAGTCTTCCTCTCAGTTCAGCGTCGGGGAGCCTGACATTTGGGCTCGAGCCCGTTTGCTCGGGGATCCAGCGGAGGCCGTGCTTTTTGACCAAGTCCGGCCACAGGATGTCATCCAAGGCTCTCTGGGAGACTGCTGGCTCCTCTCCTGTTTGAGTTGTTTGGCTGAACACCCTTGGCGGATCAAGGCCTTGTTTCCCAATGCCCGGCAGTTAAACGACGAGGGTAAGTACGAGGTGCAATTGTTTGATATTGCTACAGAGTCCTGGACACTTGTCACCGTTGATGAGTTCGTCCCTTGCAACATCAAGAACGGAATTCCTGTGCCCACCTTCGCCAGACCGCTAGGTGAAGAGATCTGGGTACAGCTTATTGAGAAAGCCGTCGCCAAGTTCTGTGGCAGTTATGGAGCTCTCTCTGGAGGAGGCGTTGGCTGGGCGTTTCAGGTGATGACAGGTGAGGTTCATATCCTGTCCTTTGAGAAGCTTTCAGAAAGCCTTTGGCGAAGGCGGTATATGCACCGCGAGAAGCAGCTGGCTCGTGGGCCCAGGAATCCACGAAATAGTTGGTGGAGATGGAGTAACACAGACACGCACGACTCAAATCAGCTATTTCAGCTTCTGAAGGGCCACCAGGAGGCAAAGCACATCATCTCCTGCATGATTGCTGGGAAGGAGGCTACAGCAGAGCAGGCCAAAAGCAATGGCCTCTACATCAAACATTATTATTCGCTGCTGGATGTTGTGTCTGAGACAGCGGATGATGGTCTTGGTGTTTGCCTGGTCCTTCTTCGAAATCCATGGGGTAGGAAAGAGTGGACTGGAGACTGGAGTGATGCCAGTGAGCGATGGGAGCAGAATCCACAGCTGAGGGCGAAGCTGGATGCCCATGTCCGCACGGGTCCTAGTTGTGCAGCAGCTGTTAGGGAGCATTTGGGAGGAAGCGCGGGATTTGGGAAGAGGCTCATGCAAATGCGGGTTGTTCTAGGGAGCTCTTTGGAAGGCGCATTTTCAAAAAGGTCTAAGGCCTCGCAAGCAGAAACTCTAGCACTGGAGCCGGGTGCGGGCATGGCATAGTGGCATCTCTGTTGCCATTTCAAGTAGCCGTTGGGACTTTACATGCTATTGTTGGATGCGAGCGTTACGCGAGATCAAAGGCTTTTCGAAATCAATGTGGTTCCGTATTCTAGCCTGTCTCCCGCAAACTGGACTGCCTTCAGGCAATGATGGTAGCTTCTGGATGTCTTTCGAAGAATGGGCCATGATGTTTACACTGGTGGTTGTCTGCCCTTCGTCGGGTGCCGCGCCGCTGAATCCTGATAATGAGACTGGGCCATCGTTGAATATAGTACTTTCAGAATGAAACCTGCATAATCCTTCATGTGAGATGCTATCGCAACACAGCATTACCTGCGCAACCCCCAGGAAACGTTCGAGGAAGCAGCTGAGTCAGATGACATGGTCTCAAGTTTTCTTGAAGAAGCTTGCCCAGCTCCTATGGAGTTATGACTCCCAGGTGCTCGTAGTACATTCCATAGGATCCCCACAATAACCAGTGCATCTTTAGAGCCTTCGTAATGGGATGCCCCATAGTACTCCTCGGAATCCCCCGCCGTTGACCAGTGAGTTCTATTAGGGGGTGACCAGCAGCTGGGGCCCTCCAGAACTGGAGGCTGCCTCCTGCACTTCAAGGGACCCTGAAGTTCCCCTAAGAGGCTAGGTAGGTATGACATTTACAGTTCTCACAGTGTAAATGCTTTCTATGAGGTTGTGGATGGGTTAGAATAGGAAGTTGCCAAGCCGCTGGGTCGATCGAAGTGCTGTATCTCGTGGCCTTGAGCTTGATCAAAATGCGCGCTTTGCAGCCTGCTTTTCCTACATCCACACGCCAACACGCAGAACCGACGCTGTGTCACAATCACATTTTCAGACGAGTGAAGACAATGACAAGGATGACAATGATATGGCATCCTTAGTAGTAAGGTTGATAAGGTACAACAGACATGACTCACTAGCGTGATTGTGTCCTTTAAAAAACTCACTGCCCCCCGAATCAATCCGCACAAAGCCGCTTTTTAATCCAGGTCTTTCGCGCAACTATGTACGGTTGTACAGGGATTACATAGGATTATATAGGAGCTTGTGCATGATGTTAGCACTTGGTTCAGTCAGATGCCGCCGAGGCCTCCTTTCCGTGGAGTCCTCTCTGAAGGCCGCGCTTGATGGTCCGAGCCTCCACTCGGGGATTTCCAAAAATTCGGGCCCGGTTGTGGGGATCTCAAAAATAAGGATTGTGGTATCTTAGGTTCTCCACAGAACTGCCCGGGCCAATTAACTTTTTGCTGACTTGCGTGCAGGGATTGAGTGTCTGCAGGGATTCTGTGCGACGGCTTCTCCAAGTTCGGGGTTCCTTACACCAAGGGCTGCATCACTTGAACAGCAGTAGAGACCCATGTGCCTCAGGTGCGAAAGCATCTCACGCACTATTTACCAAAGATCTTTGCTTTCAGCCGAAGTTGTTGGAATTATGTTGTGAGGGGCTCTTCATCTCTTGAATGCGTAGGGATGGGGGCCAAGGCATGCGGGACCGTATGTAAGGGGATTCATAGGGCAAGCCCAACAATTTGCATGCAAAGCTGTGTTGCAGCTTTTCGCTCGAAAAGAGTTACCTCCGAGTTGAATTCACACATCCCGCTTTGCTGGCGCATGTTGTATGTAGAGTTCAGGAACTAGACTTCGAATCCTTCGCGGCTGATCCCATGCCCTAGTCCATATTCAGGAATGCCGCGCCTTTTAAACATGACTGCCATGTCGAGCCATTGCCTGGTGCAATGCCGCAGAAGTGGCGCTCGCGGCCACGCCGTGGGACAGGACGGGGAGGAGGTGCCTTAACTGCCCTGTCACCCCTCATGCCTGATTTGCGTCTCTGATTGCAGGTGCAGGGAGGCAGACGCCAGAGAAGAGTGCCCGTGCACAGGCCCGGTACTTCTAGCATTAGGCGTAAGGGGTAAGGACGAATGCCACAAGAAGGCGCTCACGAAGACCATTGCAGAGCTGGCACGAAACAAGCGACTTTCACGAGCCATTGAGACGTTCAAGCAGTTTGAGCCCCCTGGCTGCAGACATTCGATTGGTCCTGGCTGATCCAGTGACTTGGTGAATGGTCCCAACACAATCCTTCACGTGTCAGAATTGCAACTTTTCTGCAAAGTGCTGCCTTGCTGACCAGGCAATCCAGAGTAGCCCTAAAGCCAAGGGAAGAGGGCCTGCGGCCGAGCGTTTACACTTTCTCAAGCCTCATCAACGCCTATGTGCGCGCCGCGGACCTTGCGGGTGCTCTGGAAGTCATGGCGACAATGAAAGCGCAAGGCATCAAGCCGAACGTGAGTCGTTTGCCTGCAAATGGCTCCAGAACCCTGGCTATATGCTTCCAAGACTGGAGCACAGAGAACGGGCTTCCTTGAGGCATCTTCACCATCCTGCTGAAAGGCAGGCTTGTCCATGTAGTTACTGTTTTGGTCTGCTCTGTGCAGGGTTGCAGTTTGCATGCGGGGCAATGCGTGTGCAGTTTTTCAGACCCTGCAAAGGCCACAGTCAAGCTGGCAACATGCACGCAGCACGTGCTCTACTGGACGAAATGGCTGAGCAAGGTGTTGCTCCAGACGCGCGTGCGGTTAACGCTTTCTTTCGAGGATCGTCTTGGCAAAGCAGTCGGAGCAGAGCGCAAAGTCTTGCCGTGACATTTCCTTTTGCACCAGGATGCTTGTACCACGGCGACGTGCCCCTGGCCGGTGAAGTGTTCGATGCCATGCAAACCAGGTTCGAATCAGGGCAAGGGCAGTTTGCGTTCTGTATCTGGCAACTTCAGTAATTAGATCCAGTAAAAAGACCCATGATCCGTGGAATCCATTGTTTCGGCTTTTGGATGTTCAGCCTTTATCTGATATGAGGTTTGACTTGGTTGAGATTGGCAAGAGTAAGAAAGACTACCAGTACCAGATACACAAGCCACAAGGTGCACTTGCAGCCTGGTCAGGCCTCAGAGGTCATGCATGTCATGTGCAGATGTGTTACACCCTTGGATTTCACACAACTGCATGCTGCGGTTGATGTGGCTGCTTTAAGCTCGCAAGGTTGCTTGTCCTTGGGAAGTGATCAAGAGACCACAGCCCCCAATTTCATCAAGCATGCTAGCCGCTGTGCTCGGCTCACATTCCTGACTCATGCACCAAGCTCTCAGGCTCTCGTGCTGATGATTTACAAGCTGGTGAGGTCTAAGAGAGGTGTGCGTAGGATTCTTGAAGTGCACCATGGGGGACATGAAGGTTTTCACGAGGGTCATTGACTTGCCGCCACCGCAGTCATCGGGTCTGGCCGCATTAAGATCTTCTAGGTTCAGGATACACTGCTGTTACCCATTTTGTCCAATTACTCTACACGCCAGATCTGGGCGATTCGCGAAGCTGTTTCTGATGGGAGCAGGTGGCAGCTCGTCCCAGATTTCACCAGCCTCCGCTATGTGGTGCAGTTGCTCAGCCAGGGCCTCCGTGTCAATGCCATTAAGGACACGTGGACCAGCAAGGAACGCAGTCTTTGCTTCCTGTGCCCTTCAATCAATTGAGCTGAAGGGCTGCCCCGCAGGAGCTGATGAAGATACTCGCGCAGACAGAGAGTATTCTTGCATGTGCATGCCCGTCACGATGCCATGGTGTCATTAAGTGGCGGTGAGTTGTGCCAGAGGAAGTATCACAGCAGATGCATGCCGCTACCTGGAACTATGTCCAGTAAGGAAGCAGCGAGACGGTACTTCAGTGGCAAGGGCAGACGCCGCAGCAGACCAGCAATCTTGCAAGTTTTGGGCAGCTGGAACATGCACAAAGGCCAGCTTTTGCTCCCTGGGCAGTTAGCTTATCCCCAATTGCTTGACATCTCTTGCCATCTGCAGGGGGTGAACTGCAAGTTCTTCCACGACTTGGAGGCATCGCCAGAGAATCAGGCCTGACCGGGGCTTGGTTTGTCAAAACTTTGAAGCAGCAGCCCTGAGAGCTGCATGAACAATGCATGCCTCCCTTCTCCATCCCACGAAAAAAGCGACAGACTCCTACTGAGGCAAATCAACTTGCCCCACCATGTTAGACGTGTGAACCAGGAGCGCATGGAGCGTGAAAAGGCTTCGGCCGTGGCTGCCATGAATCTTTCTCTGGCCCATGCAGCTGCGATGGTTGGTCGGTGGGTCCTGTGCCGGCGTGCACTTACCCGTGCAGAGGACAGCTCTTGGGGCTGGAAGCGTCAAGAAGTGCGGAACGCTCCCTTTTGAAGGACTTCTACAGGTGCGACGAGGCTGAGAGAGAAGCTGGGAGCCATGGTCTCTTTCAGGAACTTGGTCGCGAAGAAGCTTCCAGGGAGATTCAGCGTATCTCGCGGGTTCTGCAGACGGAGCAGCCGCCCCAGTCCTACGACTTCCTTTGCCGAACATTCCTTTTCAGCAGCTCAACTGAGTAGTCATGTTCTTGGGTTGTCGATAAGCAGCTTCTTGCCTGTACATTTTGCAGGGTGTTTTGCGAGATCCATACATTGCCCACAACAGGCAATTTCCAACAAATCCAAGTTGCCTATGTGCGTCCCCAGTAATACCTAAACCTTAGCATCCTGGTACGTTCTGCATGATATTCTGCCCGCGTCATCCCATGCCATCGTTGGGTTTGTGTGTTAGGGTGTGAAAGTATCCCGTTAATCCCCATGCAAGCGGCAGAAAACACCAACACTCAGGCACTGGGACGCCGTGCACAGACAGGGAGGAGCATCAGGGTGTTCAACAGGTGGGGTCAAAGTAGTAGGGGTGTAGCAAATAATTACGGTCACCACTGTGGGAGCTTTTTTTTGGAAGGGTTCTGTCATTTTTCGGGTTCCTATGTATCTTTTTTTGGCACATGCCTGGGTAGTTGCGTAGGATGCTCCCAAAAACAATTTAGATTTTCTGTTCAGGGGTCTTGCATGGGTTAGGCAGCATGTTGCAACTTATTTTTGGGCTGTGGATTTTGGGTTGAGGAGCTAGTCCAGACTTGCGTGGACGAGCTGCTCCGGTCTTTCGGCCTGGGACGCCTGGCAGGAAGCAGGAAGGCTTTTACAGGGAGCAGGTAGGGATTCTACACGGGTTGGCCTTGGAGTGATGGATTGATAAGATGATTTGGCAGGATGTAATCAGTCGGCATATTGGCATGGAAAGGGGAGCGCAGGGTTATGCACAGATACAAAGGTTGTGGGCCCCTTCGGATTTCTTTCATTGAGTACCACTGGCAGTAGAGAAGTACTGGTAGCAGCTAGTACATCCAGGAGAGGTGCTTCTTCGAGCAGGCCTTGCAGAAGGCGATGCACGCAGTTCTTTCAAGCTGAGCTTCTCTAAGAAGCTTTGGCTGCGCAGTTCTCGGATCTTCCCACCTGCGCGCAGTGGTAAGAGGACAGGCGAACTTGCGGTCTTTTGAGAGCATGGGTTTTTCCCTTCGGTGAGGACTGGGTTTGACAGGAAGATCTGGTTTTTAGGTGTGAAGTTCCACCAAAGCAGGAAGCTGGAGAGTGACGGTGCACTTCCGCTGAAGATGGAGATCTGTTCAGGCAACGGCGATTGGGTTTCGTCCTGAGCCAGAGCTACAATAGCATTGAACCGCATTGACCCCTAGTAGTACTCGTAGTAAGTGATCTGCAAGTGATGCTGGTCACAGGTGCAGCTGTAGTGGAGGTGGGGTTGCACTATTGCTATGGTTATTACAGTCATTATTAGAATTGTTCTTGTTAGGGGTCGGCGTGGTGGTGGTGGTGGTGGTGGTGGTGGTGGTGGTGGTGGTAGGAGGACTGGCAGCAGCATTGGACGGCAGTGAGGTCAGTAGTAGCCGGTAAGCTGATAACGGTGCTACAGATTGTTTGTATCAAGCGACCTTACAATATCTCAAGTAATCCTGTGGGGGTTTCCGAACACTCAGGTGTAATCTATCCCTGGGTAGCCTACACCCCGGGTACCCCAGAATCCCAGAGTCCCAAATGCTGAGGTTGTTACCCAGGCCAAGGCGGACGAAGGGCTGGCCAACTGGATGGCGCTGGAACTTCGGCATGACCGTGTGCACCAAATCTTCAGCCGCCACTTAGCTCGAAGCTTACCTACTGGTGCCATAAGGTCGAGTGGGAGAGTAAATATAGGTACAATTTTCGGGGTGTATATGCAGATCCACTCCCCCCTTACCAGGGCAAGCTCGCTGAAGAGATTGCTCAGGTAAGTAGCCGAAGTGGACAGGCTTCACGCACGCTCTTGCTCAGGATTTACAATGGGCATCAGGTTGCACCGAAGTGTTGCAGCTGTTCCAACCAGATGTGTTTTCAAACCCGTGGCGTCCTTTTTCGCTCAAGCAACACACAAGGGAAGGGGATTTTAATAGTCCGAGTGCCATGCGCCAGCGCGTGCGCGTGCAAGAAGAGTCTGCAGTTGCTCCGAGCCATGAGCAGGAAGAGAAACCAAAGGCAAAGCATCACGGCAACCCGCCGAGACAGACCTTTGTATTGACAAAGTCTCTCATCCTTCGACTTTTAGGCTTGATGTATCTGGTGGCCTTCAAAGTTGCTTTGGACCAGAATTTGGCGCTCATGGGTTCCAAAGGGTTGACCCCAGTGGCGCGGGCCTTCGAGAAGCAGAAGGCCTCAATCTCAGGTTTCGATGGTTTCCGTCAGGCTCCAAGTATCTTTTGGCTCGTGAAATTGAATGACAGGAATATGGTGTTGGTCAACTATCTTGGCCTTGGGTGCAGCCTTGCCTTGGTAGCTGGTCTCCATTCCTCCATGGTAGCTGGGATTCTTTGGCTCTCTTACTTTTCAGTGGTCACTTCGGCAGAAGGAACAGCATGGTATAGCTATGGATGGGAGAGCCAGCTGTTGGAAACAGGGTTTCTGGCTGTCTTTCTATGCTCTCCCTTGGACTTGGGGTCAAGCCCCTCCCTGCCTGTTCTTTGGCTCTTCCGCTGGCTTTGCTTCAGAATCTCCACAGGTGCAGGCCTCATCAAAGTGCGCGGCTCGAGCTGCTGGACTGATCGGACATGCCTGTGGTACCACTTCGAGACGCAGCCGAACCCATCACCCTTGTCATTTCTCTTTCATTTTTTGCCGCGGGAAGTCTTGTCCGCAGGAGTGGACTTGGACATCTTTGTGCAACTGTATGCAGTGTGGCTGGTCCTGGTTCCTGGCTGGGGCATTCTGCGACATGTGCGGCGACTCGGTGGGCTCGTACAAGTATTCTTCATGCTGAATATTGCCTTGTCAGGGAACTTCTCGTTTCTGAATCACTTGACTATAGTGCCAGCACTGGCATGTTTGGACGATTGTTGCTTGTCAGTATTTACATGCGCAAAGCGGGAGGTTCAATCCTCCCGACCTGCTCCAAAATGTCGGAGTCTGGCTGGTCGGCTAACTCGGACAATGATCGATGTGGGCCTCGTGCTGCTCATAGGGTATCTCTCAATACCAGTGGTCCAAAACCTTCTACAGGCCGAAGGACGTCGGCAGGTCATGAATGCTTCGTTCGGCGCTTTTCGACTTGTGAACACATATGGTGCGTTCGGAAATGTTGGAAAGGAGCGCTATGAAGCCATTGTGTCTGTATCTCATGATAAGAGAACGTGGCATGAACTCGAGTTTCCATGTAAGCCAGGTCGACTTACACGTCGTCCCTGCTTATGTGCCCCCTACCACTACAGACTAGACTGGAACATTTGGTTTCTGGGCTTCAAGCCCCATGCAGCTTACTTGGAAAGACGTGAGACCTGGATGTGGTCATTTCTGGCGAAGGTCTTGGACGGGGATGAGGTAATGCTCAGCCTCTTGGACCCGGAAACAGCCACAAGCAAAGCATATTATCCCGATGGACCTCAAAATGGCCGCCAGCTGCCCAAGTATGTGAAAGTCGACATGTGGAAGTACAGTATGCGGGCTCCGCTTTGGGTGATCGCACGAGAGTACTGGCAAAACGGCTCGGCGGTGTGGTGGTCGCGCAAGAGAGGAGAGGCTTTGATACCACCCCTCGAGCGCGACTACACAGTTCTCAACAACATGATCGTTCACACTGCGCTCTGAATGTGACGTAATTAGTCCAAGTGGACAGATGTCATCGTTGTCGGGTATGGGTATATTAGCTGTGAGGGAGCTACTCCAGTGTGGGCCAGCCATTGCAGAGTCCAAACGTGCAAACATACGGGGGTAAGTCTGGTAGAGCGGGGAGAGCACAAGTCCCTCCCCAAACGTGGAGAGAAACAAGCCTTTTGCTTGTATGGTCAGTGGGACACCCCCTAAATCTTCACATGGAAAAGGGCTAGGTGACCATAGATGAAGACAAATGTCGTGACAAATAGTTTGACATGAATGAAGCAGTTTAAGCACCTTAAGATGCAACCCGGTGCTGAGGAATGGTCTTCAGCGAGGCCGCCGTCATACATCCCTCGTGCTAGGCCCATAGGCATACAACCCTGCGCATGCGGCACTAAGGGTTATATCGGGGTTATATGGGGATAATGGAAAATAAAATTGGAACTACAGGAATTATAGGGGTTATGTAGGGTCTATATGTTGTACAGAATTCCTAACCACATTTGATGGGCGGGGTCTGGGGGGTCAGGGTCCGGGCGTCCGGGAATGACTGGGCCCCATCACAGGGTTATGGTCAGCAAGAAGTAGAGGGGGTTTTCTAAGACGGTTCCAAACGCCTTGTGGCTGGACCAGCCTCAGCGAATATAGTAATAATAGTAGCAAGTGGTACTAACTGTAGTAGTAGTAGTAGTGGTAG